ATGTTTAGCACAGAGTGTCATGTAAATGAAATTCTAATTCAAAATCAGTTTACATAAACTCAAACATTTTATTTACTTACTTACAGAGAGAGATAAACAATGCCATTACATAAAACATACATTTTCACCAGTTGTGTATGTATTCTATCTATGTTAGTCTAGTAGTTAGGATATAAACAGATGCTATTAATAAAAAAATACATACCGGCCGCTCTTGACTTCAGTAGCATACTGGTCGAATGAGCTGAGGTCTTGTACTGAAGTCTGAAGGCGTTCGTTCAGGAAGTCCACGTCGTTCATGATGTCTTCATCGTCGGAGCGCTTCTGCTGCAGGATGGACAACTGCTTCAGGACCTTGCACTGTACCATGGCGATGCAGTGCTCCTTGGCAACCTGGTAAAAGTGTACAAATTAGTGTTAACATGTATAGGTATTGTGAGTAGGACTTAGGTTAGAAGACTCCAATTGGATGTTTAAGATTGTGTAAGAAAATCAACTCTTATATCTAGTCTGCAAACAGGATCGAAAGTAAAGGCAGATAGATTATAAACTGATGCATTATGATTTCTTTCCATACCTGATGATCTTCAGGTTTTTCGATCAGGTTCCTGAAGACAGCGAGCACGATGCGCGTGACCTTCTCCTTGACGGAGTCGCTGAGGATGTCGGCGAGGATGGGGATGGCATTGAACTTGTTCATCTTCTCTGCCAACAGGGGGTTGAATGTCAGCACCCACAGGCAGAAGACCAGCTGATATTGCACCTAGAAAATGAAATAAATTAGTGTGTAGATGTAGATAAAATTAAATATTTTTGTTATAGTTTAGAAATAAAATTAAACTGCCTGAATCCACTTGATTCAAGAAAAAAATAGTTTTTAAAATTACCAGACAGAGGTAGACCTTGGTCTAATAAATGAGAACATGTCTCCTATTACTGTAGTGAACCTTTGCCCACCTCTTGAATAACATATTAGATGTAAGTACATTGTACAGTTGTAAAATCATATATATGTAAAATGTTACCTGGAAGTTGACCCTGGAAGCCAGGATGGACAGCAGGGTGGAGATGCCGTCAACAGACAGGAACGCGAAGCGGTACTCGTCGACACGCAGCATCATTTGCAGGCAGCGAGCCACGGATTGGATGTATTCATTGTTCTGCATGCAAAATGTACTTTAACACACTTCATTCAATATAAATAGCAATATCGCGCCCCAAAATTCAGTTTATATTTCAAAAGCTTTTTAATTACAGCATTTTAATTTTAAATATTAACAACAGACTAAATAAAAAATCATAAAAAGTAAAAGAAATATTTCTCGTTTAATACACAGAGAATCTGAAAAACACTAAATTAGTGCGTTAAATCACATAGAAATAGAAAGTAGGAAGAGTCCACTGTGTTTACCAATTTACAATAAATTACTGTAGGTTGTTTACAAATAAAATAACATTATTTTTGATCCTAGATGTATAATCAGAATAAATTAAAATTTGTAGACTGGAGAAAATAATGTAAAATATAACAAAAATATAAAAACCGTAATCTTAAATAATAAATAAATACAATACTTAACAAATAAAGAATATAATACTTAAAGCCGCATGCACATTGCACATACCTTCACATCCTCCTAGTTTGTGAGTGTAATGAACAAGATTAGTGTAAGCATGCAATATAATATCAATGATTAAAACACATTCAGTTAAAGGGAACTCACATTCTGTTAGCAAACACCTACATATTTACAAAAGATTAGTTAGTCATCACTGTTATAGCAAAATAGTATTGTTTAACACTCAGTTTGGTGTCGACATGTACACGTAGTGGGGTACCTTATGCAGGCCAGGTGGCAAATCCTCAAGTGGCTTCAGCTCATCGAAAGAGCTGTAAAGGCTCGAATACTTCTCTGGGCCAGCGTCGACATTGTCTTTTTCCTTGTGGTGATGTTTCAGGTGTTTCTGAAGTTTATCGGCGGCGAAATGCTGTTTCTCGTGCAGCAACATAACCTGCTCGGCATGCTCTAACTCGGCAGACATTTTCTCCGCCTTTCCAGAAAACAAACCTCTCAATGACAATTCACCCCCGTCATCAAAGCCCCAACGATGCGTGATGCTTGCACGTGATACTCACAACATTATGTTACGGTTCAGTCTGTTTAGACACATTGATGACTATACCAACTTGGTATAAGGCACTAAGCATTGCCACACAACTACTGTTGAACTGTGAACTTGAATTTGTTTTGAAATATGTACAACTGTCCGTTGAAGCAATTGTGTTGTTGAATACAGTATGTGTTGATTGTATTGTGATAAAATTGTAATCTAGGTGATTGTGATTAATGAAATGCAGGTGAATGAAACATAATCTTAAAGGTGAAAACGAAATTAATGATAATTCACTTGTAACTGTTTGTTGAAAAATGAGTGTGGTTTATATTTATATAGCTATGTATTCGTTACAGTAAAAACAAGTGTTGTTATGTCTAATGCTTGTTTGAGTTATGTATTGATTTTGAATAATTATCTTTGGTTACATAACACTGTAATAAAAGTGAGAATGTAATGGTAAAGATCTGTCAGGGAAATTCAAGAAGATTGTCCAACATAAATACCTAGTACATTATTGTCTCCACTCTATCTCGAGGTTTGATTATCATAAACTGACCATATCAGCCTGTATTTCCTGGGTTTCATGATTGAGACTTAAAACATGCTTTGGCACAATTTTAGTACAGCATCCCCTTGCTGTATATTTTATACACGAAATATTGAGTTATCTTTATAAGATTATTTAATTAATACCTGAGTGCATTGTTTTCTGAAATATTTTACTCATACAGAATTGCATGCCAAGAGGTGATTGTTAGTGATTATTTTAGCAGGTTTTTATTTGACAAGCTTAATGTTTTCAGTATAGATAGTTGATGTTTTATCATGGAGTGAGAACTACCAGCAAAGCTTTGATGATACATGCTTCCGTGTAATCAATCAATTCAATTAAAATATTAATGTTATAAAAATTATCATCATTCCTTTAAGATAAAATAAGTAATAAATCATGCATGCATAAAATATTTAAAATTCATGCAAATAATGCATATGCAAACATGGTAAATATATTTGTAGAAATTAGGTAATGGTTGTATGACTTACATTCATCTTAAGTTGGTCCTTAAGCCAGGAGAGGTAGAAGTGTAGATCACTCTTTTCCATCAGGTTTGTATGCCAGCAGGCCAGTTTAGCGATGATTCGGGCCGTCATGTGCTGAACAAACTCATCCTGGCGATTCAGCAAGTTCAGGAATGGCTGCCATGCGTTACCCATCCTTGCTTCACGGAAGATCTTCACTCTGCCTTTATCCTCCTGCAATGTAAATTATTAATTTAGTTGTAGTTAACCATAGTTATATTAAGATTAAGATATTTTTCCTTGCAATAAATTGAAGTTAGAGACAACATCACTCGTGCTGTCATAAAGTTGTAAGCGGACTTTGTAGGAACTAAGAATAACTTCTGTTTCTAATTCCATGCTAATAAGATGCCAATTGGAAAATGATGTTATATAAAACAATTCAGTTTTCTAATTTATTGAAATTGTTGTTGTTTGATTATGTTTCAACAATGGTGACTGATTTTAATGACAGTAGGTTTGACTTACAGAAAGGATGTCATCAATCAGTACAAGCAAGTACTGGATGGTATGATCCTTGCTGATGTGTGTGAGCAGGTTCAAGAAGACCTCAGCACAAGTTTCGGGGATCCTGTCAGGTAACTCCTTCTGGCCACGCTGGTCCAGGTTCACAATGAAGTCATGGTCACGCTGGCTGATCATCTGTGACCTAATCATACATACAGTTACAGATGTGACCATGAAACATGAAATACAATTTACATAGAGAGTGGCTTGTGAGAGGAGAATCAATACTCACTGCAGATAAGATTGCCAGTTGATCTGAGTCTGGCGGATTTCACTGGCGCGGATTTGCAAGACGCTGGTGGCCGCAATCATGTCTAGAAACCATTGCATGAACTTTGTTTTAGAATTCTTACTACTGATGTTTCAGGAAATACTGCGTAAGTGAATTACTTACCGATTTTTTCATCACCCAGCGACGGCATTACCTGACTAACATTTTCATCACCCATGTTAGCCATTTTGGCTAAAGAATTGATAATCACGTCTGTTATTGCCAAAGAAGAATCGAAAAACTTTTATTTGGGAAAAACAGAAAAATGAAGACAGCCTCAGCTGAGAGGTCTTGTGACTATGAAGAGTGACGTTAGTTTTACTTCGAACGATAATTATGCTCTTACCTTCTCTGTTATACACCTTTTTGGCTAGAAAGAAAGAGACAAAGCATTAAAAATACGGTTGTCAACCCTGATTTTTGATAGCAGGCAAAATTCAGAAAATTACTGCTTTTTTAAATTTCTATATAAATACGAGGAAATTAATCTGCTTTGAACTATCTCTGAATACATAATGTCAGCATGGCGCACAGCACTAGCTAACTATAAATCTAGTTGTGTTATTCTCCCAGTAACTTAGTTGAAACGGCGTTTTAAGAAACGAGCCTGTTATTATTAGGTAATAGTGCTTTATGTACAACAGCAGTCCAGCTGCCAGTCCTGCCTGCTCACAAACATATAAGTCTGTATGCCTGCTACATAAAACCCATAACACATACATAATAAATAAACATAATTATTATACCAAATCTGGAAATCCAATCTGAACGTTCAATTCAATATTCAACAGGACAAGAAGCGTGTTTATTATAGAGAAGGGTGATTTCTCGAATAATTACTCAACTATAAAATTATTACTGATAAATACTACAGTATTCATTCCACATTACTTTATCCATTTTGAGTATTTATTCGAAAATGGACATTGTGTTATGGTGATATAATACCATAAGTAAAAAATAGCGTAATAGTGGTAGTTGACTTTCTGCCTAAAAAGGAAATAAACCATAGAAATAACTTACTACTTATTACTTCTTTACGGAAGGATGTTTAGAACAAGGGTTTGGTTTAGAATCAAAATCTCGGTTGAAAGTTAATTATCATAAAGTAATTTAATTATTTTTATTAATATGTTTAAAAGAACCTAATCGCTCTATCTATTTAGTAATGAAATGTGTATCGCATAATTTTAAAGAATGTTTTCACTACGGATATTTGTTGCGCTATTTTATTGTGATGGTATTCTTCACTACCTCAGTGAGATCCACGTCTAATTTGATAGAAATAGAAAAAAGAGGTTATTTTATTATTTATTTTTAGACGTAGGTACTTCATAAAAAATTACCAGGTAATTTATTATAATAGGTTTTTACATCAATTATGATAACTCGACAACCATAGTTTTATTGAAAGTGCAAACTGAAAGTGTGTGTACTCCGTAAGTCCGTACTCATTCAAAGATTACTGATTGTTTATAAACAATTTGTTTTTGTACCACATTGTTGATCTAAAAAAACTACTCACGATTGTATCTCTCTTTCTCGGGTTCTTCAGTCGTCTGTTTTTCCATATTTACTAGATATTTGGTGAGTGGTCAAACTTTTTAATCACCGAACGATAATAATGATTTTGTATATAACTTTCATACCAAAAAAGTACTATAAATGATAAAAAAATGATTTTTTATATTGCAGTAACATAATTTGCGCTCTTCAAGTCTTCTCTTGGAACTGACACATTCGGCTGTAAATAAATTTGGGAACTGGCCAGTTCTTTTGTCATGACTACTTTGCAATCAGAAGATTGTCAAACTAATGACCTAAATGACTCATTTCCGATGGATGTTGAATCGTTGCGTTTTCCATTAGATAATTCAATGCGAATCGTATTTACTGGATATTACAATGGCTTTAATGTGGAAGTAAGATCTGTAGAGGAGATAGCACTGCTGTATCATATGGGATGTTTTGGCAAAGGGACAACATCGCGATCGGAACCTAAAGCCGATCAAAGTGACATAACGCCGCGCATCATACGTAAAAGACAATTTTTAAAACGAAACTATTGGTTTAAAAAATTCGGCAGTTCTGATAAATTGGCAACTGTGGAAGCAGATGATTTCATGAAAGATATTGATAGTCTTACAGCTAAAATAATTGTAGACTGTGAGAAAAATAATCAAAAAGACGTCATTGATTTAGTCTCCAGTGAAGAAGATGATGAAGAAGACCATAATTCCAATCATAGTACTGAAAGATTCCAAAATCATGATAAAAAAGATTTGGTAGTTATAGTGCCTAATAGCGAATCTGAAGGAGAAAATTATTTTGAAAACATGAGACCGAAATGCTGTCTAAATAAAGTTAAAATACAAGAAAAGCTTATGTTGACTCCTGAGGAAGCATTTTTCTTGCTTTATGGTTTGGGATGCTTACAAATTGTCAGTCTCGACAATGCTTTACTCAACATAGAGAAGTGTTGGGACCTCTTTACAGCTGTAGATGGAAGATTTTTATCCAAATATGTGGTTTACCACTACTATAGATCTAAGGGATATGTTGTAAAACCTGGAATTAAATTTGGTGGAGATTATTGTAAGAGCTTTTTATAATAATTATATAAATTATTTACATCTATTTGACAGACAAGTACATGTGTTGATTTTATTTTCAGTATTATACAAAGAAGGTCCTGCAGCATACCATGCTGATTATGTAGTCATTATAAGGTCTGAAAATAAGGAAGAAAACTGGATTCAAACACTTGGCCTTGTTAGAGTAGCAAATACTACAGTCAAAGTGGGTATTACAATACAAATTTTCGGAGTTTATGCTTCTATTTTCAGCAAGGTTTTATTAATTTTACTTACTAAAATAAGAACTAGTTATTATATAACATAACATCACGCCTTTTATACTGCAAGGGGTAGGCAGAAGTGCACATTACAGCACTTAATGCCACTGTGCAATGTAACACCCACTTTTCACTATTTATGTTAAGTCCCATGTAACAGGGGGTGAACCTATTGCCATATACCAGTAATAACTGCCTGACCCGGGAATCGAACCCGATACCACTTGCCCGACAGTCACACTTTCAACCACTTGGCCAATGAGGCAGTTATTACATAGTTATTACGTCATCTAAATATTTCTTATATCATGTTAGAAAAATATATTTCATTGAAGTTTTTTATTTCAGGAAGTCATAGCTGTAGAAGTAGTAAAACCCAAAAAGACTGAAGTCGAATTACCCAAGGATTTGAAACTTTTCAGTGTGAGAGAACTGTTATTAAGCCGGAATTTACCAATCACATTAAATGAAGATGACTAAATTGATTTTTATTTATATTTTTTTACAATTCTAATAACAATACTTTAACAATAAATCTGTACTACAGCAAGCTAAGCCCTTTTGATAGGTTTTCTAATACCAGTTCTTCTGTATTCACTTCTTTGAGCCAAATATTCTTCAGTACATAGCTTTTTGAAATCCTCATTTTGATACCACTCGCTCAAGCAATCTTTTAGGGCAGAATTTTGATTTCTACACTTTACAACCATCAGAAGAGATGAATCCTTGCAACAACTTTCAAAATCAGTTACTTCCTGAATACATTTTTCTTTCTTTGCCTTTTCTCTAATAAGTTTCGGAATCAATACATCTTTCTCGACTTTGCGCAAGCTTCTATCTTCAGGATCACCTAAAATAATTTTCGTATATAAAATTGGTATCATAAACAATGTTTTTATCACATACTGAGACATTTATTTGTACCTAAGCCATGGGGACCTTCCGAGAGCTTACTCGGTAAAACAGATTTTTCAGCCATTCTGTTTCTATATCCGAATTTAATTAATTCTGCGTAACTTGTGTAAGAGTAATATAGAATAATGAAATTGAAAATATTGAAATAATCGTGGTGCACCGCCTGATACCGATTATTTTTTTGACATTGACAACCTGACAATTGACACAGTTGACAGTTAGTGCAATTTGAACAGTGTTGCCAGAAATGTAGCGAAGTATTTATGAAAAAACGAGAATAAACACAAAAATATTTCAATTACTTTGATATTTACCATTAAAAATGAAATAAAATATTTTTACTCCCACTATTGTAGTTTTTGCCCATTTTGTAAATATTTAAAAGTTCACATTTTATTGAGAAATTGAGATCAATGTAATGACATTTTTTATATCAAGCACACGTTCATGAGGTTGCAGTTTCGACGTGGGCTGTCATTTTCGTTTCCATAAATTGAAATCATTCGTTCCTTGTTTTAAATCCTATTCATTTTGGATTTTGGCCGGAGTTTTTCGGAAATAGTGTAAATGATAGTAATTTGTTTGTGTAAGTACAATCTTGTTTTGCGTTAACCCATTTAATTTCATTATGTTACAATGGTCAAATCACCGACGCTGTTAACAAATAGATGTTGATGTTTCATGATGTGTGATGCTAACTTGACGAGTTTGCTTTTTAGAGTGTAGAAGAAAGAAGTACAAAATGGATCGTCTTCTACGTCTTGGAGGAGGTATGGCTGGATTGTCCCAAGCGCCGCCGCCAACGGATGCACCTGCTGTTGATACTGCAGAGCAAGTATACATCTCATCTCTGGCATTGCTGAAGATGTTAAAACACGGTCGTGCTGGCGTGCCTATGGAGGTCATGGGTCTCATGTTAGGTTGGTATAATGTCCTATGAATAAGTTAAGGGCAAATGAAATAGTAAAAGTGCTGCATCATGGTTGGAAATTTGTTTATTACCTCGGTTCCATACTTAGTTATAGTATAATAGCATAAGAAACTATTGTAATTTCCAGGTGAATTTGTGGACGACTATACTGTGCGTGTGATTGATGTGTTTGCCATGCCTCAGACTGGTACTGGGGTATCAGTAGAAGCTGTGGACCCCGTCTTCCAAGCCAAAATGTTGGACATGCTTAAGCAGACTGGCAGACCTGAGATGGTTGTTGGATGGTCAGTATAAACCATATAATCTCTGCTTATAATGATACTGTTTGTATTTATTAATTGGATGGTGTTTATTAATGCTATTGGTATAATATTTGTTAAAAGTGGTTACATAGTTATCGAAAATCCTAATGTGTATTGACAAAAGTATCAAAGAGTTGTGCTTCTTGTGTGGGGTCAAGCTCTGATTAAGTTGAAGTGCTTTCCAGTTAGTCTTGAAAGTATAATTGTTGTTAATAACTTTGTTAGCTTGTAAAGTCCGAGTCACCTTGGACATTTAACTAGTTTCATAGTTTTCTATGTGACCATTGTCATAATCGTTTCATTAATATTTCATCACATTTTACAATCGTAAGTAATGAAATCCTAAATCCTATGTAATCCTAAGTATCCAGCTATCAATCTTAACTATTTAAAAAAAGTAAAAGAACAAGGTTTGACTATGGTGAACTGGAGAGTGTAAATAATTCATTAATTGTGGGACCCAACTAGCTAAATGAATTTGAGCACAATTTTAATATTACAGGGACTGCAAGTGATTATACTTATTTGTTACTACTCATTTACAGGTACCACTCTCACCCTGGTTTTGGCTGCTGGTTATCAGGTGTCGATATAAACACTCAGCAGTCTTTTGAAGCTCTCTCAGAAAGGGCTGTAGCTGTTGTGGTTGACCCCATCCAGTCAGTGAAGGGTAAAGTAGTGATTGATGCTTTCCGCCTCATCAACCCTAACATGATGGTGCTCGGCCAGGAGCCAAGACAAACCACATCAAATTTGGGTCATCTCCAAAAACCATCAGTACAAGCCCTGATCCATGGACTGAATCGTCACTACTACTCCATCAGTATAAACTACAGGAAGAATGAACTGGAGCAAAAAATGTTGCTGAACCTCCACAAAAAATCCTGGATGGATGGACTCACTTTATCAGACTACAAGGAACACTGTTCGATCAACGAGACCACAGTCACAGACATGTTGGAGTTAGCTAAAAATTACAATAAGGCATTAGAGGATGAAGAGAAAATGACCCCAGAACAGCTAGCCATTAAGAATGTAGGCAAACAGGATCCTAAGAGGCATCTAGAGGAGAAAGTCGATGTCCTGATGTCCAACAACATAGTGCAAGGTCTAGGAGCGATGCTTGATACCATGGTGTTCAAATGATCGTCATGTGAGACTTTTGTACTGTTACAAGTTAAGGCTATAGTAAAGTGGAAATAAACAAATCCAGTCTCACAGTTTTATCTATTGATTGTATGATACTTATAATTTACTTATTACTTAATGTACTAAAACAAAATAAAACACTTTTTCGTAATATTTTATTATAATTCAAATTAATAGAACAGTTGCTGGGGCGCTATTTGCTGACGAATTTTCGATAGTTTCTTTTGCACTGTAGGATGTTTACGGAAATGGGCAAAATCAATGTCAAACATAGGTTTGAGTGATTTTTGAGAGTTGACAATATCACGAATAATTCTTCGTGCTTTGATAAAAGCTTGCTCAGGATCATCCATTGCTACCTGCATTAAAATAAAACTGTAGGTTCAAAATTACAAGATAAAAATAATTAAAGCATGACGTGTCGTACCGTATCCCAGAACAATCCTGGGTTTTTGCGATGGACGTGTTCATAGGGGTCCGTCAAACCCGTCGTAGGAGTGTCACATGGCAATAGCTAAAAAGGAACATTATCAAAATATTATATTAGTTACTGAGCCCTAAAAAATTAACAAGACGCACTAACTATAATTTCTAGTACTCAAAAAGTAACAAAGCTGTTCTCTACTGTAGAATTAGTAATATGTAATATTCTAATTACTACCGTGTCTGTTATTTGGCGTAGAAGTGTATCGTCTTCAGTCTTTGAAAACCGAGGGGTGTAGGTGTCCGCTGTAAGAAAGGATCATTAAGTAATTAATCGATTGAATGCACCGATAGGGGACACAATAGAAAATACATTGTGTCTCGCGTGGATCCACGTTTAGGAACACGACGGGTTAAACCAAATAGGTTTAGTTACACTACATAAATTCGCTGAAGCCACTTTCAGTCGAATTTAAATAACATAACATCTTCATCCAAAATCTTGATTAGGATCACACTGTAACTCCTGTAAGCCAGCAACTGCATTGGAGGGCAACCAAAAAAGCAACGAAACAATAAAGTCCGATGCGTTCCAGGGGCATTAAACAACTGAACAAAATGCACTAGAAGATATCATAGGAGAAGATTGTGTAGGTTAGTTAAAAGAGCTAATTTTACATAGTTGAGCATTGATGTCGCTAGCTTGCAAGTATCCGGCTTCTGTCAGGAAGGCTATCCATAGATCTGACTCATCCATGCCGACTTGCGACTCTCGACGTGTCTGCCACTGTGCTGTTTGCCAAGGGATACGTGTGCTAATAGACCGTATTTGTTTCTCCGCTTCTTTGTCTGGTAAAGGGAAAAATAACTCGTTTATTATCAAAGCAGATAAGTGGCCTGTGCAATAATGAGGGTAACTGTTTTGTTTACTCGCTAGATGGCGTTAGTCTAAGTTCGCAATTTGAAATTAAGTGCACTCTCATAATATATTATTCTGCTCTTATCCTAGCATGCTCATAAATGACAAAAGATCTTAGATCCCACTAACACCCTAGCGGCGAATTGCCTTACATAGTCTTTCTTCATCAGCATTTTGAGTGGAAAAAGTCAAGTTTTACAGCGTATCTACTTGTATTTGATCAATACACGTAGGTATATGACCCAAACATCAGATACTCACTATTAGATTCTGGTGCAGGATCCACCATAAGTCCAGCGACATCTTGGTCAACTTCACCGTGCTCGTCCTGTGAGGTAAACGTCACAGATTTCGAGTTTGAAGACTTGGAGCTGTCCGGTATAACTAAACCTGAGATTGGAATGATCAGAGAAGAAATTAGATATGTTTTTTCATTTTATAGTTAACTGCCGACCTGATTCAGGTTCGAACCCCAGATTGGGTAGGTAAGATAGGTGTACCTACTTATTATTTTTTCGGCTTTTATAAAATTCCCAGTAATAACGAGAAGTCCGTATTTGTACCCAGTGGTATTTAGGCTCATCTCTTATTACATGTGATCCACATACCTTAAACTTAACTGGTGAAATGTGGGCGATACGCTATGTGCACGTTGTGCACTTTTACTTGTTTTTTTATAATGAAAAGTAGCTATTCTAGTTCTGTACGTACCTCAAAAGAACAAAGGTTTCCTTCACTTCGTTCCAATATTAAAAAGTCAGTGTCAGCAATGGCTCGAAATTATAGAAAATGAAATTTCAAATGTACCTAAGCAATTTTAAGATAGGTAGGTACTTTTCCTTTATGTCCCATTTTATAGGTACCTAGATGAAACTAGTTAATAAAGTTTTATAGCTGCGTTTAGTTCTTACGATGAGAATGGGAGATGCTCGATTGTTTGGAGTACTTGTCCACTGGTCTTTGACGAGAGGGCCGACATTCCGATCTGTAACACAACACGAGACATGCTTATATTTACATGAATGTAATATAGTACTTAGGACCTATAGGTGTAGGTCTGTTGCAAAACCGTATAATATGTAAGTATAAGACAAGTGCCTTTTTTTTTTTTGAGGCGGTAAAATCATCCAATGACTTCTCCCGCCCGGGTGAGGCGAGAGGGAGTGTCAGACTCTTACTGATTAAAAACCACCCCGTTCCTACTCCTGCACTTCGAGCCGGAGCCCCGGCAACCCGTTAGGTCTTCCGCGGATCCGTATCGGCATTAGCCCTGTTGGGCCCTATCCGTGGTGGTCTGATGGCTCTTTGAGCCGCGCGCGGAACGCGACGCGCCGTACGCTCGGGCCTGGTTCTGGTCATAAGACAAGTGCCTAGTTTGCCTAAGGACATTACATAACATCACGCCTTTTATCCCCGAAGGGGTAGGCAGAGGTGCACATTATGCCACTGTACTATGTAACACCCACTTTTCACTATTTATGTAGTGAGTCCCATGTAATAGGGGGTGAGCCTATTGCCACATACGTAATTGGCCATAATTTAGTCATAGTTATATATAATTGTCAATTCTAGCTGTAAGTTTTCTAAATGTAAAAATAAAAATAAATAAAATAAATACCGGGCGCACAATTCGAGACTCCGTGCTACAACTGAGAATTTTTTTTAACCCAGTAATACTTTGCTCGACCCGGGAATCGAACCCGATACCCCTTGCCCGACAGTCGCACTTGCGATCACTCGGCCCACGAGGCAGTTTGCCTAAGGAATACGGGGTTTAGGACGCCAAGGTTAGAGAGGACTGCCGCAACGCCACATGACATCGTGCCACCATGCCAAGATTGACGGTGGTGCCAATAAAATTTAGGACCGCCAAGGGCTCTCTCTAAGTGTAATCGACCTCTGCTCTGTTGAACCGATCTGGGTCTAGATGTCACATGCACGTAAAATTAAGTGCTTCGAAATGAATTTACGATATCTAAGTAATTACAGGAGAAAAGCCTTGAGTACTTATTTCTTTTATTGAGTCTTAGAAGGTATAATGGAAAGTTCATATTTAGAATTTTACCTTTTCGCAACACGTTCTTGATAAGATGCTTGGTTCTGTCCGTTGACATCGCTGGTGTATTCAGCCGTGCCCTGTGACTCTTTGAACAAGGAGTAAAGACTCCTTTCTTCCATACTACCTTTTTCTTGAGTTTGCTTCATTACTTCGTCTAAAGATGAAGTGCTCTAAACATAGACAATATTTCTGATGTCATTACAACATAAACATTTCGTAACGCGTTTTAAAGTCTGAAAAGGTAGGCAGAGTGCACATATTTCATAGCACGTAACACCCACTGTTCACAACTTACGAGTCTAAGTAACGAAGGTAATTCATATACCGGAAACAATTCCAGACTCCATGCTATTAGTTTTAAATAATTTTCTCAAAAAAAAAAAACACAAACTAGATAATGAAGGTATATAAGTACTTAATAGATACCTATTTATAGGTACGTATTTATACAAATACATACAGGGTGTTATGTAGCTAATTGAGTTACACTTTGTATGTACAGTACAGTTCAGTGGTTCAGTGTTGCTAGACGACAGTGGCAGAGCAATTAGCAACTTTGATGAGCTACTTTAACTTGGCTATGGTCTTCAGGTGCAGCTATAAAATCATTTAAATCATGAGCCATAACTGCCTCATCGTGTAGTGTCGTAAATGCTACTTCTGGGTATTAAATATACTTATTTATTTATTTATTTCTGAATTGTGAAACATGTCATTTATCTCTGGCTACACATTCGGAGCATATACCTAACTAGCTTCGACCATAATATACCTCTGTTCCAAATTTCATTCCGATCCCTTCAGCCGTTTTGATGTGATTGAGTAACAAACATACACATACACACACACTCACAAACTTTTGGATTAATAATACTATAGTAGGATAATGTGTTCAAAATGTCACCTTATTACGCACATTAACATTTCAATACTTGCAGTGTTAATCGCGCCTCAGCCTGTCACTACGAGAATTAAAAAAAAAGTGCTGTCACATGAAGTTGGAACAACTTGCCAACGCATTTTAAAATTACAGGCTTTCAAATAAAGAACATACTGAATTTAAAAGGGCGAGTATGTTGTAGCCTTTGGCGTATTCCTTATTTGCTCGAGCATCACTGTCCATCATCAGGGAGCATTCTGATTCTATCATAAATTCACTCTGCTGTTTTTCCTCCGGGAGACCCTAAAACGTAAATTACGACCATGTTAAAGTGTGATGCATTTGTAAACCTGAAAGTGCAGAGCATAATTTTTCAATGAAATACATAGAACGTGCGTTTCAATTGATAGAAATAACATATTATATTATATCTGCTAGCTTTTGCAAGCCGCTTCACACGCGTTAATTACACATACATGTATGTACATACCGATAAACTTTATTTTTGAATCACTTTAAAAACCTGCATCAAAACCAGTTGAGCAGTTTTAAAGATTTTGCTTACAGAGCTTACTCTTGAAACCAATTCCGATCGATCGACATTCGACGTCGGTATTTTGAAATTTCGTACCCTAGAGTTGCAACACTAGTGCCCATTGCATTCGTATTGCATGGATATTGAATGAACAAAATAGTATTGAGTTTGGCTTTATATTCCATACTCTGAATGCTATTTTAACAGCTACGATGGGGGTTGTATAGTTTTGACATTGGATAATTATTGAGAATTTATCGGATTGAAATTGCTTTGACATTCAGATTGGTTTCAAAAGTAAGAGAGTACAGACAGTACAGCCCAGGTACAGACAGTGGAACACGACTGTTTTATATTACGCAGTGATTAACATAAATAATAATATAACTGAAAATTACGACAGATTACGTCAGTAAATTCAAGGTAATGTAGTGTTAATTGAAGCAATATTTAATGATATATTACCAGGATGATCTCGTTTATAATCCCGGTGATTATAATCCGACCCGATAGCAAAACTTGTAGAGTGGAGCGCTCCATTGGCGTCTCGAGAGACATGCGTTCTCGAGTACTCTTGCGATACCTGACGTTGGAAATATATAATGATATCGAGGATTTTTCTATGAAATAGCTGTTCTTCTAAAATTATTACAGAAATATAGGTAGTGTCCTCTTAGAGAGATTACTACTGATTTAAGTATGATGATTAAATACTACAGTTGGATAAGTGATATATTTTTTTGTTTGTACTTCTTTTTTTTTCCAAAGGCTGCAATCTAAATCGCAGTAGCCTTAGTAGTGGTTGATTCAATTCATACTAAAGTTGTGCTAATGAATTTTTAAATAGACTGACCCGTTATTATCGCAGGCCGAAAATAATATCGTTTCTATTTTTGTTATAACAAAAATAATACAAAGAAAACTGTATAAACATACAATGGCATATTGAAATCATTTTGATCCACCGAGTCGAGTCAGAAATCTATACATACAATCATACATAACACAATTTCCTTACGTTTTCCGTCGCTCTTGTATAGTTGATAAGGATTTCCGATCCATGTACGTCGCAAGGATCAAATATGGCCTGTATCCACGTAATTTCAGCATCAAAGCTGCGGGTAAATCCAAACACACAATCTTCACTTTTCCCTCTGTTACGAAAGCTTCCTCTCGACCTACAGAGTAATATAATATTTACGTAAAACATACGCAACCCTATATAGGTTTTGTTATGCTCAGATCCTTTTTTAGGTTATTCTTTTGTAACCTAGGGGTTAGGAATCAAATGAGGTTTAACATTTTTTGGATTAAAAAAGGATCAAGTAGGTAATTAGGTTAGGTCTGCTTTTGAGAGGAAAATTTCAAATTATAATTTAGATTTAGAACATTGTACTTTTCTTTTTTTGTGTCGTAGATGTAGGTGCGTTTTTAACACAAACACATTTAATGTAAGTATCTGCTTGTTTTAAAAAAATATTGTAATCAATTAAATGAATATTGGTCTATCTGACAAAATACTAAAATGTTTGTGATAGCTGGTTTTCCTGTTACAGGTGCTACGAGTGACAGGCGTAGCACCGCGTAGCGCTCCGTAGCACACCGTAGCACTGATGCGTAGTGAAGGCAACTCGTTATTCGAGCGAATGTTGATGAATTGGTTGACGTTATATTTATATTTTTATCTTAGAAAGTAACTGTACCATAAAAATATTGTAAGGATTTTTTAGGAGGAGGGGACGGACATAAATTGAATAAACCTTGATTCTAACTAAGCATGGAACGATGTTTTAACTTGGTAATAATACTACATTCCATCGTATACAGATTCTTTCACGTAAACACTACTAATTAGATTGTAATAAAATAAACAGTAATTTATATTTTATAGTCAGGAACACAATATATATATATATTTTACATTACTTATTACAGTGTAGATGTTAACTAAAATCAGTACTAATTAAAAACCAAAAAAAAATATACTTAATCCATATGACTCCCCGTCCATTTCAGTATAAGTGAGGAAGTCGCCAGCCAGTAGCATGTCATCAAACTTGCTTCTAGTGATTTCTATGTAGTGGTCTACGAAGTGGAAGGAGGCGGTCGTGTGACGAAGCGCGAGCTGTATGTGGGAACTGCACTCTTTTGCCAAACGACGAGATAGATTGCCTGCAATACATAAAAACGTAGGTACACGCACACGTTGATTTATTATTGACGAGGTTTAATTTTATATACATAAGATCGCGATAGCTAGCTATTCCCGCGTGGTTTTACCCGCTTTGCTCGGCTCCTATTAATCGTAGCGTGACGTTTTATAGTCTATAGCCTTCCTCGATAAATGGGCTATCCAACACAAAAAGATTTTTTCAAATCAGTCTAGTAGTTCTTGAGATTAGCGCGTTCAAACAAAAAAACAAATAAACAAACAAACAAATTCTTTAGCGTTATATAATAAATATCAGTTATTGTCTAAGAGTATAAACTCAGATCAGTAAACAGTTCATAGGTTGATAGAACGCTACCAGACTAGAACTAAAAAAGAACTAATAAAAGGTAGGAACCCAATGACATTTTACTAAGAAAGAAAAGTACAATAATATTTTTAGTTCAATTATATTTTCCTGAAATAGACGATAAAAATAAAGAAAGTCTAGACCTTCATACGAAAAGCCTGTTTCCTCGATGTAAATAATTAAGTAGTTATGTATTTTTAAACAGTCGTAGCCAAGTAATCAATAAATAATCGATTAGTTTCACGCCCCTATACATGTGGTTGGTATCAGAGTGTTGTATATTATCACGTACTTTTTTAAATTTGGTCACAGCGTACCATTAGGTGAATAAAGAACTAAACAAATATAAACGTAGTTTATGACTATATAGATGACACAGTTATAATATAATTCTAGATTCCAAACCGCATTAACTGATAGAGCTGCTTACACAAACTTTAAGTAAGACTTCTTCACTAACTACCTGTTCTTAGAAGTAATTAAAACTTATATTTACCTTTGCCGACCCCCTCGTGTCCAACTATTACGACGATGGGTACATCTTGTGTATCCGCCGGGGGAATGTAAGGTGAGATGCGAGCCTTCGAAAGTTGTTGGATGTAAAGCAGTCGCAGTAACTTTCGAGTGGTGTGCATGGTAATGTCGGGATTATAACCCATCATCAGAGTGCGCTGCAACAGTTCATAGCAAGAATCCTCTAAATGTTAGCCTACGTTAGTATGCCACTTCTAGTCAGATTGTTATAGTTCACGTCAGTTAGTTTAAGCTAATTGTTGCTCTAATCGTGAATAGTTCGTCTCGTGTGAGTTCTATGTACTACAATATTAATTTACGTCATTGTTTAGAGTTTTAGTGCCAAAGGCTGAGCTATTATGTCGTTATTAATTTGAGTCCAAGTTTCATAGATGATGTCGTTGAAAATATTTAAGGAATTTGCTATTGCTCATTAATGTTCAATATCATAATATTATACAGTATTGACCATGTGTGTCAATAATGCCAAGTCAATACCGAGTGGTCGCAAGTGCGACTGCCGGGCAAGGGGTCTTGGGTTCGATTCCCGGGTTGGGTAAAGTATTACTGGGTTTTTTATAAAATTCTCAGTAGTAGCACGGGGTCTGTTATTGTGCCCGGTATATGGCAATAGGCTCACCCCAGTTACATGGGACTCATAACATAAATAGTGAAACGTGGGTGTTACATTGTACAGTGGCATTAAGTGCCGTAATGTAAAGGGGATAAAAGGCTTGATGATGATGACATTAATCATGTCACTGTTTTTCGATATAGTGTTTTGATTTAAGCATTGTGAGTCATGATTTCGTCTTGTCAATATTTAATATAAAAATGTTTTTGGTGACATTAAGTTATTCACAAATAGCGCGACTATGCGGTCACAAAGGTCGCGCAGTTTGAACAAGCGGTTTTCAGCTGCGGTTTGACGCTGAATATTAGGGGTTTGCTATAACAAGGCGCGACTGGAAACCGCGCAATTTACAACATCTAACTTTCATATTACATTGTGTTCGGGACGGTTTGCGAGCCGAGTTTTAGTGAGAATATTGTCCGTATAGCTTGGGCTTTTAGTAAACTATTCACGATGTACATACATACATACAGCTGTCATTCACCTGTCATTGTGTATGTATGTGAGTATTTTATTTCATACGTCTATCGTAGAACTGACGTAGACAAGGGCTTCATGCCTGACAGATAATAAATGTACAATTTCACAACAATTTTAAAATATTTATACATTTACACTAACAGCATATTTTCTTCTCTTTATAAAAGAAACAATATTAACCTATTAAACTGTCAAACACCAAGCGGTCACCGGTGACCGCAACCTATTGTTCTATAATTGTGTCTACAAAACCGGTACTCGACGAGTTAAAAAGCAATTAAGTATAAACCTAGATAGTGTTCCGTTTACGAACAAAATATAATGTAATCGTATTACCTGTTCGACGGGATCGAGTTCCGCAGCGTCTAAGCTGAGTAGCATGGAAAATGTATTGATTACAACACTTTTATAACAAGGTATCGAGCAAATAGGGTTTGCTCTAAGATCGAGTACGAGCAGTCGTCGCATCTGACTCATATACACTGCAAGTTCGAGCAAAATGCTAAATCGGTTGTTGCGCAGATGAAGCTCTCGAAGTCTGTATGGAACAAAATACTTAATTAATTAATTATCTATAAAGTTTATCTTCTAGATAAACTTACAAATAAGTAAGACTTCTGTAACTCGATTGTTAATCGAAGGTCGCAGGTACCTCGTTTCCAGCATAAGTCTCTCGCATTAAATTTCAAGGATGCAGAAAACAAAGTCAGCTGATTTTTAGGGGTTCTGAATAAATTCGTGTTCAATATTTAAGTAGGTCATTATAATATCAGGTGCGGAAGATAAGTTACCTATAGATATGGTCTGGGCGTAATCGTTACGATCAAATTACGATTAAAAGGAAATTAGAAAATATATATTTCGACATATATGAGTCGCGGCGATGACGCGACGCCATCTTTCTTTTCCATTTTAATGGACCGATGTTTCTCATTCCCTATTTTCTACTGTTGAGGACCCAGTAAGTATATTATGAAACATCGAGGCGCTGTGTACGTGAAATAAATAAAACATTAAGGGAATGGAAACCACATACAGTAGCGTTGAAACAGAACAAGCGAAACGGATCAAACAGTAAATTCATTTATTTTGCTCATTCGTACTATTTTATATCCAGTGAGGCAATATTTTCTGTGTAATTCTTTTTGAAATATTTGCTGTAAGTACTTACAGTATGCTTTGAATAAAATATATAAAGATTTTACACATGGTTCAACACAATCTGGTCACATTTATGTGCATGAAATGAAAAATAATGGAGCTCTTAGAAGGCTTACTTTTCATTTTGTGCCTAAGAGAATACCATAGTATTCTCTACCTTAGGATCATCTCTTCTCATATTATCACTACACCATGTTCTTCACGATTAGGTAGGGTAGGTATAGGTGCACATTAATGCACTTAATACCACTGTCCAGTGTAAAATCCCCTTTTCAATTCGACTCGTATGTATGTAATACTCCCAGAACTGCTCAGTTTTCGTATATGTTAGTCACTATTTATGTTATGAGTCCCATGTAATAGTGGGTGCGCCTATTGCCATATATCCAGCTCTTTAGGGCTAGCAATTAATGACGCAAATAGCGCAATTTATTGGTGTTGCTGCCTGCGCCCTGCAGAATTGCAACGTAATGTAACATCCTTTGTTTCATTCGTTAGCGCACCGGTCGAATCAGCACAGATTGGGTATTGTGGTTGGAACGGGTGACATCATTACCGGAATGAAGTACCAGTGTAAAATGACCTTGTATTATTTATGTGTATTGTATATTGATATGTCATAATATATTGGATTGGGTGGTTTGTCAACTTTTCATAGCTATTAGCTTATTTTTATGTTACGTTAAAGTAACGTTGTCTCGAGGATCTAGTGATTATTTAATATCACTGTTGAACACTTTGTTATACCTAGAGTCTATTTTCCTCTGAGATATAAAACTTTCTATGCGAAAAATACGGCTGAATAATAGAATAAGAAAGACCTCCTTGTCAATGTCATGCGCCTTTATAGTGTTAAAAATGTTACTAACCTAGTACAATACGAAAACATTTTCATTGATGTCAAATTGTTTTCATTCAGGTTCAGATATTCTAGATGCAATAAGGTCCAGATTCCACTGTTGGGTCCAAACTCGCAACTAGATATATTATTGTAAGATACATCCAGCCAGAGCAGACGCAGGTGGTTCAAGTTCTCGAGACGTTGAATGTGGTTGAATGATAAGTCCAATCGTCGAAGGTATCTGAAAGGAAAGGAAGATAGAGTAGTTTCGAATACGGTACTTATTTTAAAAACAAATACAAGAAGATGTAATCCTATTTCACCAGTTAATACGACGTTTTTTGCTATGAAACAAAAAATATGGCTTGGTCGGACAACATGATGCCCTGTAATGATAGTTTAAAGTGTTCTTAAATATAAATAAATAAATAAATAAAATAAGTAACGTACTATTGACCTGGTAATATTAATTTTAGTTTAGAAGTTTAATTAAAAACCTATAGTATTCTTTCATTAAACAAATTAGATGTCAAACGTACATTAAGCTCTCCAGTCCCGTTATAGCCTTGATATTATTATGCGACAAGTCAAGTACAGTTATCGACCAGAATGCGGACAAATCTCTAATTCGTTTTATCGAATTGTATTTGTAGTGCACTTCGGTTAGGAACCATTGAGCTGAAAATTGAAAAGGGAAATGTAATTTGAGCCAAGAGTTTGCGTCTACATTTCCGCAAACAGTTCAAGTTTGTGCGGAATGTGTAACAACCTGTATAGCAACAGGGTAAGTGTAAACATCGATCATACTGTATATTTGTGTACTTAGGTAACTACATTGTTTCATTGCGTAGTATGTAGTTTCCTCGACTTTATAGTTTCGAGTTTCTTCGTCTATGTTCACGTTCGGTTATTTCTACAGGTGGGTTTTGCCAATAAAAATGGTAGAAATGGTAGTGAGGTTACAAAATATTTTGTAACAGACCCAGAACACCTGATGATTTTATTTTTACCCAACTGAAGGAAGGGTATTGTTTTCGTTCTTAAACCTCAAGTATAATTTTATGATGAAAATGAAAATGAAAATGAAAATATTTATTTGTAAACATAGGTACAATGGGATGTTACATTTCATGGTATAATATTGACCATCTATGTTTTGTGATATGTCACATACAAATTAGATTAAAAATTTAAGTATTTAATAACGTCATTAATTATAATTTCATTCGAATAAATTATTACAATAGTCACGAATGTATATAAAAATAAAGATAATGTCCTTGATGAAAATTTTAAATATTAATCATTAGTGGATGTCAAGATGAACGTGAAACAGTACATCCATATTGTTCGTCAATTAAAATTTTGTTACTTTCTAAGTAAGAGTTCAGGCTTTTATGTAACACATGATAGGTAAGTACGGAATTTTATATGCGCGTAGTAGCGTACATGCAAGAAGGTATACCACATTCCATACATCCAGAAGGTTATCTAAATAGGATTATCGTTGTCCATTTAAGCAATACTTATAACATTACAGTGCGTCCACAGCTGGCGAATGCGCAGTTCGCGAGCTGCCCACTTGCATTTTTGTTCGTGCGCACGTGGGCGCTAAGTAAACGAAACTATAAGTGCAACAATTGAGTTCGCACAGATCGCGGGCTGCTCGCGAGCCTTGCATGAGTTGCGCTTAAAAGCTTAAAAGGCGCACCGAACCATTGCCGTAACTGCACGCGCGCAGCTCGCGATAGGTTCGCGAGCTGCGCATTCGCCTAATGCGGATGCACATTTAAATGTAAACTACTTACGTGTGGTATATTCCAAAACCGTTGCAAGTCTATTGAAATCCACTGACAAGAACTGCAGGTACGGGAGATAAGACAATACTGTCAATTCTGTCAGCAAGTTTGATGATAAGTTCAAATATACTAAAAATTTATAGTGCTGTAGAACATCAATCTTCATTAGATGCTACAACAAGGAAATATAACACAATTATAGAAAATATTGTTAAAAAACTACAGAAAAGAGTATTTAATAATTTAAAGAAGTAGAAGAAGTAATTTAAAGAATCAGTTTAAATAGACAAGTTCTGATTTTGAGATTATAATAACTTTCACAAAACCAATTAATTCTGTATCCTTGAGTAATAATATTGTTTTTGATAATGTAGAGTATGTAGAGTACTAAATGTAGAGTACCTAAAATGTACATTTTCAAAAATATTCTACTGACTACACGCATTATTTTGCTTCCCACACTGTTTGAACTGATAAAACTAAACTTGACAGTGGCGCCACCATTGATTTATATTATACTTCTTGGTTGGTACTAAAACACCAGTCTTCGTCACAAAATATCTATGTAATAAAATTAAATACAGGATACCTTAGACCCGTATTCTATAAATCTGTTTACAAGACAAGAGATGAGATAAGTAAGCCGGCTGTCAGTCCTGATTGTGGATCAAGGTTCGTGTTAGAATGTTATTCTAGGATGCGGGTCGATCTTTGGGACTATTTAAATAAAGACGTTGTCTAGCCTACGGGCGTATTCAAGTACAAGCAGGTCAAGCTACACCCATTTGTGATATTTTTATTGGATTTTTGACCTTATAACAAAAACCTAAAGTTGAAAATCTAATTTGGCAGAAAGGAATAGGTTAACTTGCTGGCGTCTGTGCCTCAACTTCGTAAGGTGCAATGTTGCTGTATCAATCAGTAAATGCCCTTCTTGGCTGCGTATGTACCTTGATGTTTACTCTATGTAGCAAATGTTTGAAACCTGGCAAGACATTTGCTTGGCAAAGCAAATGTATTTGCGTATTAGTTTGTTTGAATGTAGTTTGCACGGCCTCACAAAAGATGGCGAGAAATAACGCTTGATATGTGTTTCGTCGTGTAAGTCAGGTCCCCAATCCCCAACAATTCTCACTAATCCCCAAAAGGTCGGTAACGCACTTGTAACGTTTTTGGTGTTTTATGTGTCTATGGACAGCGTCGATTGCTTACCATCAAGTGGTTGTGATGTTCGTTTACCGGCTTATCCCATAAAAAAGTGATTTATACTCAGTAATCGTATTTCTACTAGTAGACCAATGAAGAAGTTAATTTAAAAATAAGAATTACATATTTGTTGTACCTTCGATGAAAGATCTAATTTGATAAAGACTAGGTCTCCCAAGATAGGAGTGCGGTGGAGGTACGTCAGACAAGCTGTGACCATGTCTCTGGTCAGCACGCCTCCAGTCAACTCCGGTACATCTTCTATCTCGCGTATCTTAACAACAGGTGAGAATACATCCGCATACAGATCAGGATATACGTAGAAACAGCCCCAGTAGTTCTCTTCGTTCATCAGATTGGTCACGTGTTTTGGAAACTGAAATATTTGAATGAAACTTAAAACAATAACAAACGCAATTGTTTTTTTTTACCTAGCAGTTGAAAGGACTTTAATAAAATTTGGTTTATAGATATGAGATACCTAAGTGAATTCGTGCGATATTTTTTATCGCAATAAGGCGAATGAACGCAAAATGTTAAAAGTAAATGCGAATTTTTACATAAAAAAGGCTGCCCCTCGAAAAATCACAGCGAGATTTTGGCGAACATAAAAATAAAACAGAGGTCAGTCGAAATGTCTTTACCTGTGGGTAATATTCTACTAAAGAGGTGAGGAAATGTGACCCTACTCGAGGGAACCATCATTCATTAAATTGTACGGTCCCGACAGCCTTGTTCACAAGCACTTTTTACCTCATACCATATCTTTATACATACATACAAGCCTTTTTATAACTACCCAGTATACAAGCACTTTTCCAACAAAAATGTTAATGACACACAAGTAGGTGTACCTTCAGTAGATTCATAAATATTTGCATCGAAAATTAACGAATAACTTAGAGTTTGTAGGCCCTAAAGTTACAAAGAATTTAATATAACTTGTACAACATCTTGTAAAAATAAATTGTTATTTAATTATGGCAACAAAATTTTATGGCGTACATTTGACGTTGAATTTTGCTTGTAAGATAGTAGGTATGTAATAAAAACGTGTTTTTATGAGTTTAATTTAATTCAGAGAATGTTTGTATACCTCTTCCCTGAGTAACTCTTCATCCGTCTTGAGTGCCTCAGTCTCAGTGTCTGTTTCGGATTCATTTCCTAAGGACTTGTTTAAATGTCTCAAAATGCTATGAACTGAAACAATAACAATGAAAGTCAATCAACATTCATCATTCATTTTCAAGTAAACTATATAGGAACTTTCAACATAATTTTTATATTGCTATGTATTTACCGGCTAAGACAAAATAGACCTTGCTGTTTTAAATTTTCATTGACCATAAAAACTAGTGTTTACTTAGGCTGTACCACTGATATGATAAGAGTATGGATAAGAAACAACTAGGAAAAAATCGTGCCTACATAAACTTCACTTGGTCACCTGTAATGGCGGATAGAACTAGGGATGTAACTTTTAAAACTGTAGAAATATCGATATTTTAGAATTGGTTTTAATTGACTTATCAATAAAATATTATTATTTTATGATTCATCTGGATTTAATTTT